CGTTTTCCCTCTGCGTATCCCTTTCTCTCCGTGTGTAAGTTTTTCTGTCGTGGAACTGTTTCTCTTCCGGCGGAACTTCTCATGGCTCTTTCAGGGGAGCTTTCGCGTTCCCCCTTGCCCTCTCCTTTTTTCTCCTCCAGAGAAAAAAAAAAAAGACAATCTGGGGGGAGAGAGGGGGAGGGGGAGCGTGTGTGTGAGAGGACTGTGCGTATCTTCCGCGAGGTCGATTGTTTTTTCGTTTTTGTTTTCCTCTGTCCCTCTCACAAACGCAACTGTCTGCATGCATACCTGCGCGTACTTGTGTGTGCCGACAGGCGAGCGTGGCAGCCACGACGCGCGTGAAGGAGAGAGGAGCGCGAGGGGGAGGAAAGAGTGTCACGGAGTGGCGGAGGGCAGGCAACGACGACGTATATTTACAAGCACACATACACGTGAAACGCTGTAGGAAGGTGTAGCAGGTGGAAGAGAAGGTGCGGTGGGAAGTGAAGGGAACACGAAAAGTGGTAGTAAATAATTAAAAAAAAAAGAAATGATAGCACACTAACGACAATAATGCTTTTAAAGCAGTAAAAAAAAACGGGGGAAAAAGAAAAAAGAAAAAGTTTAATTATAACTTTAGTAGTAACTGCAAACACGCAAGCATTGAGGATGTCTCTATCAACCCGACAATTGTCTTTTTGGACGCCCGCTCTCTCTCTCGCTCTTTCCCTCTCCACTTTCCCTTGTTTCTGACTACATCTGTGTGCATGCGGGGAGCGATGAGAAATACACTCATGTGTGTGCACGTGTGTCTCACAGTAGAGTTTATAGTCCCAAAACGGAGGCATGAACCAGGGCGTTCCATGAATGGTGAGAGCGACGGGGAAACTTGAAGACAGAAGGCGGAGAAAGAAGTAACAAACACCAAACAACGATGAGCTGGTTGACGTAGAAGGGGGGATGGAGAATGGAAAAAGGAAGGACAACTGACACATATGGGCGCGTATATGCGTCCGCGTCGATACGTTTTTCTCCTTCCCCTTCCCCGTCCTCTTCCTCTGCAAATATATATATATATATACATGCGCGCGTGTGTGTGTGTGTATGTGTGTGTATGCTGGGAGAGGGAGAAAGGTGTGCGGGGTGTTTGGGGCCTTCAATGAGGGCGGAGAAAAAAAGTGAAGTGTTTGTGAAGGAAAACCAAAGAAAAAAAGGAATAAAAATAAATTGAAATTTTGGACTGTGCTTGGCAGGTTCTGCGTGGTGCACACCGGGAGAACTGAAAACTCAGTAAAAAAAGAAAAGAAAATGAGCATACATAATGCAGTTCAATTTCCAAAGAAAAAGAAAAAAGAACAAACTGTGCTGCCTCTAAATGAAGGCTATCTATGCTCTCTAAGTCGGCACTGAGGCACACACTGTGTGTGCATATTCGGCCTATGGTCATGCTGATATCGATGCTGCGGCCACTGCCATTAATGTTATGTGTGGTATTGATACACTCTTTGGCCTCCTTTTTTTGTTGTTGTTCTTGTCTTTTCCTTTTGGATGATTCGTACATTGCGCCTGCTTGTAGAGGCAACGGCGCCCACACCTGCTTTCAGGGGCAAGGATTAAAAAAAAAAAGGCAATTCGTCGCTGCGTACTGAATTTACCCTGAAGCTGGGTAAGTGGGTTTTGTAGGGCGTACTGGGCGAGAGGAAAACAGTTGTTACTACAACAGCGGTGGGAAACCGCGTGACGGGAGTTTTCAAGAGTTCGTGCTGAGTTAGAGGAAGAGGTTGGCAATGGTGTTCCTATTCCTGCGTTGCCTTTTTGCATCCATCCTGTTTAATGCGGGTGTTGCCTACGCCGTAATCCTTGCGCTGCAGGTTCCCTTTTGCACAGTGGCAGGGAAGGAGTGCGCCAAGAAGCCCATCACCGCGGCCAATATTCCGATCTATGCACTGAAACTTTGGATCATGATCACATTTCTCGCTTCCTTCTCCTACCTGGGCGCAGATGGCCTTCCACTGTTTCTGGAGGCCCGTGCCATTCTCACGTGGCTTCTTCTTCTTTTACCGCCCTCATCGCAGAGTAAAGTGTATGACACTGTTTTTGAACCTGTTCTAGAAAATGCCGGGAATTTTTTTATTGGGTTTGAGAACAAGCGGATGCTTGCGCGTGGCGCGGCAGTACTGGCGTTGCGTAGTTGCATAGCAATAGGGATTTTCATTGCGAGGACCACCATACGCTACTGGGGTTCGGAACATGATGTCATCCATCACGTCCTGGAGAGTTTGCTACATGCTTCTCGATGCCTGCAAGATACAGCGGTGAGGCAACCAGAGACTCTTGCATACTTCAGTCCTTCATCGCCTGTGCTGCTGGGGCCTACGTTGGCATAATATATATGCGCGTATGCATGTTTTGTGTGGCTTGGCCTTCGTTATAAAAATTGGGTTGCAAAAATCAAAGTATTGGAAGGCGTGTGTATATAGTTTTGTCTCCATGCCTCCCTCTTGTCGTGTGTATGCACCTGTTTAGATGCGACGAGAAGATTTATTTTTGTCCTGTTTTTTTTCCCCCTCCCCCTCCCATTACTTTGAAAATATTTTACTTATATTTACTACTTGTGTGTTTCTTAATTCATACATGTTTGCTGGGTTCTTACTTCGTTTGCTTCCTCCCCTGCTTGTCTGCAGGAACACCCCTGCATGAAGGCGTGTCTTATTTCACCTCGTTTTCTTTCTTTTTTTGTGTGTATGATTCATTTGCTCCTCCTCATCACTGCCGTGGGAGGAAGTGGCGGCGAGCGACGTTTCCCTGTGGGGTATTTGGGGCAAAAGCGGCACGGCCAGAGTTGCGCGACTGTACGTGGCGGCACCCACCACCACAGAAGCGAGGGGGAAAGTGTGTGGGGACATTAGCAAGGGAGCGACAGCAATCCGAGCAAAGCAGCGGCAAGCAAGATAAAGTGGCTCGGTAAAAAGGAATGAATCGTCACAAGAAGTTTTACTCCACGCTTGGAAATCAATCGTACGACGACGATTACGATGACTATTACGAGGAGGAAGAAGACGATTTCTACGACGAGGAGGAGCTGCAGTACGTTGTGCAGGCGGGCGCCGCCCCGGCACAGCCCGGAAAAGTGTCCCCCACTGCAGGCTGCGACGCTACGCATGGGGCGTCATCGAAAACAGAGGAGTTGACTTCGGGCGCAGAGCACAGTCTGGGCCCTGACGACGTGGATTACGCGCTGGTCACCGCGTTGCTTGCAGAGTTCAAGAGGAAATGGGGAAAATGCGCCTCGGCACAGGCGCCTGCACCGGATCCCGCCTTGTGCGACATCGTCGAGGCTCTTCGTGAGCACAGCTATGACGTTGACGAGGCTGTTGCGCATGCGGTGTTGAAGCTGATGGAGGAACGGGCAGAGGCGGGGACGCAACAGCCGCCGCCTTCCCCCGCACCTTTGCCTCTCCCCGTAAATGCCGGGGCTCCTGCCCCGACTGCGACGTTGACAGGGACGGCTGGTCCGAAACCCGGTGGCCGCACCTTAAAACTTGGGAAAGGCGGTAAAACTACGGGCGCCCCGACGGTCAATAAATCTGAGGAGACCAAAAAGGCTGTATCGGCAGCGCCGAATGGTGCACATGGCACCAGTGTCACCTCAAGGCTTAAAAAGGATGAGGTAGAGGCGAGCATGCCTGACCCAAACAAACGAGATTGCACTTTTGTCATTGCAGGTCATGTGGATGCTGGGAAGAGTACGACGCTGGGGCATCTACTGCTTTTGCTGGGGAGAGTGTCGCAGTCCGATGTGGACAGGAATGAGAAGAGTGCACGCCAAATGAATAAGGAATCCTTCAAGTATGCCTGGTTGCTTGATCAATCCGAAGAAGAACGTCGGCGTGGCGTGACAATTGATTCTGGCTCCTATTGTTTTGAAACGGAACATCGTCGGATTAATATTCTCGATGCCCCAGGCCACAAGGATTATGTTCTCAGCATGATTAGCAGCGCTACACAGGCAGATGCGGCACTTCTCGTTGTAACGGCCGTCACCTCTGAGTTTGAGGTTGGTTTGGCGCATGGAACTAAAGAGCATCTTTTTATTCTGAAGACGCTGAGTGTTGGTCGCTTGATTGTCGCTGTGAATAAGATGGATGCTGTGGACTATAGTAGAGACCGGTATGACTACGTTGTGCGAGAGTTGAAGCTTTTGCTGAAGCAGCTACGCTTCAAGGAGGAGGCCATTGTTGGATTTTGTCCAGTGAGTGGGATGCGGGGGACGAACCTTCTCACCGTCGATCACGGGGCGACCCCGTGGTACGAGGGGCCTTCCTTGGTGCAGTTATTTGATCAATGTCCTCTGGAAAGCCGATTGCTGGATGCTCCCTTACGACTCAGCCTGCAGGACGTGCAAGTGCAAGCCGCACGACTCTTTTGTAAGGTGGAGAGTGGACGACTTACAAAGTCGTCTAAAGTTGTCTTTTTGCCGGTGGACGTCAAGGTTCAGGTCAAAACCATAGTGAAGCCTACGACAGGTGAATTAGTAGCTGCCGCTTTCGCGGGTGATGCCGTGGAAATTGACACAGACTCCTCACTTGTGGGGTTATTCCCTGGCTGCGTTGGTTGCCTCCCCACTGCCCCTATTCGCTGTTCCACGGACTTTGAGGCCCGCGTGCAGACCTTTGCCACGCTGCAGAGTTCCATTCTTCCCGGAACCACCTTCACAATGGTGGTTCATGCCCTTACAGTGCCGGTGAAGGTGGTGGCACTGGTGGCGAAGATGGATCGTCAGGGGAACTGGTCAAAAGGCATGGTGAAGTGCATCCCAAAGGCCACGCAGGCGATCATTGTTTTTCGCACGGCGTCCAAAATTGCTTTGGAACCCGCCGAGGCATGTCGCGCTCTTGGACGTTTTCTTTTGCAGCAGGATGGCAACACAGTGGCAGGGGGACTAGTGGAGAAGATGATGCTGTGATGAGGGACGTGGGGCGCCAAGGCGAAGGCCAAAGAAGCCGCAAACAAGCAAACAGGCAAAAACAAGCCAAGACGAAGACCTAACACATAATTTACGGGGAACCACAAAAAAAAAACTAGCGAGGAAAGATGAATATGTTCTTTTTTTTTTTGATTTATTCTGTGGGGAGGGGCGTTGAGTCAGAAAATACATCCACCATCATATTTGTATTTTCTTTTCAGGGGTGTTCATTATTCGTTTGTGACTCTTCCCCTTTTTTCACATTTTCCTTCTCTTTCTGCGTGCGTGAAAGCGAGCCACACTGGGGGAGGGGAAACAAAAACCGCCTTTTTGTTATTAGGCAGGCATTTATTTTATTCCTAACAGCAACAAGAAAGGAATACTAATAATAATAATAATAATTTGGGCAAGGTGTATTGTTTTATTGTGGAGACAACAACAACAATAAGGGAGAGTTTATACTGCGGGTACTACACGCGTACATACCGCCGTATGAGTTACTTACTGTCCTCTTTTCGCGGCTCGGAGAGGTCGGATGCGGGGGCGGACTACGAACTAATGCCGGAGCCGATCTCCAATGCCGAGTACCTCCCGCTCCGCCTCAGCACCCAGGAGCGGAAGATACAGCGGCTCATGCGCGGTGTCATCATGGCCTCCCACTACACGGACAAGGTTGATAATGAGGCTGCACTTAAGGGCAATAGGCGAGACACCATTATACTCAAGGAGATCACAAACGCACTTAGTGGTCTCATTGTTGGCTTAGACATTGAAAAAGGGTCAAAGCTTCTTTCGGAAAAAGACTTTACCCCTTATGCAAGGGAAATCCAAGCCGCGATTGAGGCGTCTAGGCGATATAAAATGATGAATCCTGACTTCCTTCGGACGGATTACGTAAAATTCCTTTACATGGTACAGGACGCCGTTCAGAATGAAAATGTTCGCAAAATGTTGGGCTTTCTAGTGGCCGAAAAACTTGTAACGGTGGGGTCCTACTGCCGCGCCTTGGGGTTAGAGGCGATGCTTCGAGACGAGCGTATGCCCCTGTGTATTACGCCTGTGCCGCTCATGAAAAACAGAGCCAAGTTGAACCGGGCTCTGCGCCACAAGGATGTCCAAGTGAATAGCCTACTAAAGGACTATAGCAGATTATCCTCTCGGACGCCAGACGAGGTGGAGATAGCCGTTCGTAGCCTCAACGACGCCAACCACTTTGCCAATGACAATGTGGCGAGTACAAATCAGTTGCTGCAGTTACTTAAAGAATTTTTCTCACCAGATGCACCAACTGAGTTGACGAATTTGGGTATTGAAGAGGGCGAAAATGGAAGTCGATTGTCTCACAGTCACAGACGGCAGTACTTTTTTGTCTTGCAAAGCCTTTCGCTTTGGAGAAACATTTGTCGTCGCATGTTTTCTCTCTGGACTATCGCAGAGGGAGACATCTTAAATCCCAACGAACCTTACGAATTTCGCCCCACGGGTCAAGGTTACCAACGTGTACAAAAAGCCCCAAACCTATACCGTGCCATCAGTGAAGTTGTGCAGCAGACAAAAGAAGAGCTTGGAGAATGGGTAGGTTCGGACCGTGTACACCTCGGAGATGATCAGGTGCCAAATGCTTTTCACTTTATTGACAAGTATGCTCAGGTGTCACGAATTATCATTCCCATTCTTCGGACAATCTCCCACATTGATACCCTGGCGGAGAATTCTGAGCACAACGCCTATATGAAGGAGGTCTGGAATGGTGCAACGAATGCAAAAAGGGCCATATTACGGGATTTTTTCCGACATGGCTTCGATGGCAGCGGAGGAGACAATATGGATGACGCTGGTAGTTGTGTTGATGGTCGACTGACTAGTGCATGGAACTGGTGCAACAATATTCGCTCCAAACCATTCTATCCGCTTTTTCTTTTTGCCGGGTTTAGTTCCTTTGATGGCGAGCTTGGACTGTAGAACAGAAACAGGATTTCTGTTTTTTTTTCTTTTTTTTTCCCCTGTAAGCAACGGGGAGAAAGATGATATATATATATATATAGAGTGGGG